AAAAAGATTTGGCGAAGCATGTAAGGGAAGATCAGTTTCAGTTTGTATGAGTATGGCCATAATGGAGGTCTTAATGTCAGCGAGAAATGACCTTTTCTCTTCAGCAAGGAGCAGATCTGGAGGTAAGTTTTTCCTAAAAGGATGTCTACGAGACCAAAAAGTGTACACTCAGCAGGGGTTACTCCGTTGGGACAAAGCTCAAGTATGTGTATTCTGGGTCGAAGTGATGTCCGGTCCTAAGTTGCCTGCCTTCCTCTAGTCCTTGTCTGTGGTGGTTGAACGATCCGTGCAGTCTTAGCACTTATCGTGGTCAAGAATGACCCTCCATTTGTTCTTCATATGAATCTCGCCAAACATCTCATATATGTACTCGATCTTCTTGGGGTCTACCTCGGGAAGCAAGCACGTATCTAGGACAACCTGAGCGGCGTCGGCAATGTCGACGAACGAATCGAGCTCCTTTGCGGTATCGTCCTGGAAGGTGGGTAGAAGGAAAGAACCTAGGTGTCAGCCTCGAAGCCACGTGGGTAGGTAGGTAGGTAAGGTAGGCAGGTAGGTATATGGGCAGGTATAGTAATGTTGCGGCTACGTAGGGTAGAGATATGTAATGATAGAACTTACGTCGTTGCACCAGAAAATGGCTGCGTTCCACGAGCAGCTGACGCGGTCGCACTGACCAGGCTCGAGCTTCGGTTTGTGGTTGAACTTGGTATCTCTGAGGTACGCAACGCCCCGCATTTGTACGTCTGCACGGGTGTCGTGCTTATCGCCCATGTGCCGCCATTCATCATGACAATCCACCTTGTCAATATCAATAAAACTCGACCGACGCTCGGGCTGGTAGGAGGACATGATGTTGGACGACGTAGAGATAGTAGCGTTTCTCTCTGCCAAAGTGGGAATTGCGCTGACAAGAAGGATCTGTAAAGAAAAGAAACGTATGTATTAATTAGCCGTGTTCTTTGACACCAAAGGAAAAGGGGAAAGAAAAAAAAGAAAAAAGGTTGTCCGAAGCGTCCAAGAGGGGGTACAAACGGACCGCTGCTACTAGGGAGGGACCAAAGTCAGAAGGAAGGTACCAACCCTTCCGGCAACTGCGTCATGCAACCCCACGGGGGTTTCGTGACTGTAGCTCTCAAACACAAACCTTAAATACCACCACGGAGTCGGTGAGGTTGATTCCAAGATAGCTAGCTTACCTGCGTCATGGCCAAGACGCAGCCGAGGACGACCTTGAGGGGAGTCATGATGGCTCTAAAAGCAATCAGTGTGTTCGATGGCCAACAGTTTGGAAAGATGAAAAGATGGGTGAAGATGGGAGTAAATCCAGTAGAGTAACTCATGGGGGGAAACCATATTTATACCCGTTGTGGACAGCGAAACCGCATCACAACGCAATCTAGCCGTGGCTGAGGGCTTAAATGAAGGCATTTGTGAGGGCATTCACGAGAGGCATTCATGAGGGCATTCATACCAAGAAGCTGCAACACCATTGTGCATTTGCAGTATACTGAAGTCGTGTTTGGTGAGCTATGCTGCACAATTACTACGACGTGAACAACCGTTCTGCAGGGCAGCTCACACATACCTCTGTAGCATGCGGCAGACACCCGACACCAGTCTGTTTTATGCCACAGTGACAACGCCACGTTAAATGCCTGGCAAGTGCATGGAGCTTTGGTAAGCAGCCCGGTTGGGACCTGACCCGATGACTTGGGTGATCCAGGAGTGGCAGAAAGATGCAGCAGACATGAGAGACCTTGATGGCTGCCAGCTCAGGTAGCAAGTGCCACTAACAGAAAGAAGCCGTGTCTACCAGTCAAGCTTTGAGACCACTCCTTCCGCAGAAGTTATTTCCGGTAGTCTGGGGGACCCGACTCGGCCTGACAAAGCTCCGGGATCGGGCGCGCGAGGCGAGTCGCGAGGTGAGCGGCGAGGTGAGCTCAAGGTAAGTCCATGATCCCGCTATCGGCAGCACGCGTCGTTGCGTACAATCGAGGTCCTCCGTATTTGGCCACCCCACGCAGGTTTATCTTTCTTGAGATTTCCTTTCGACAGCACCATCATTGCCGCCTGTTTTTCCCTTCGAGAGAAACTGTTACTTTTCGTACTGCCTTCTCGCTCAATTAATCTCACCCAAGCATACTCCCCATTCCCTTTCGGTTGCTTATCGGCGAAGCAAACCCTCAAAATACCCCCGACCATGGTGCGCGCCCTCGTAGGGTGGCTACCCAATGATGCGCCCTGGAGTGAACTCAGCCAGGAAGTACTGCAGAAGCAATGCGCGATGCGCGACCTTACGACTACCGGCGATACTCTCGAACTATACCAGCGTCTGCTAACCTACAAGAACGACAACATATCCGACAGGAGACGCTCTTCCAGATGTCATGCGCTTTGTGCTCAACAGCCCCGATCCCTATTGTTGGCAAGACGCGTTCCTCTCCTCTGAACTGGAGTCCATCTATCGGCACAGCCACGCCGTGCAAACTCTCCTCACAACAGGCTGGTGAGATCCGAACGACTTGTGCATTCTTTGCTTTCGGGACCTTGGACACTCAATCGATACGTCGTCCGTCACATGCAGTCATTGCGGAAGAGCAATACACACCGCCTGCGTTGGCGCCGTCAAGCGAGTAAGAGAACCGATCCAAGACGGCCAGTGCTATGTCTGCGAGGATCAAGCTCAGTGGGGGATCGAAAAATACTGTAAGCAGAGTAAAGGTCGGTCAGCTGTTCCTGTCAGCACAGTCATTACTCCGGCAGTAACTCCACCAGCAAGGCTAGTTGACCAACCCTTCTTTGAGGATACCCTGAGAAATGACAGCCGGATATCCTTAACAAATGCAGACTTTATCAATGAGTAACTGGACATAATTGTCCGGGGTACCAGTAGTTCTTGAGTAAACCTACCCGCACCCCATGAAAACCTAGAGGCACCCCATGGGCTAAGTAGGGGGGTAAAAAACCGAAGTGTCCAAAATCCATGGGGTGCCTCTAGGTTTTCGTGGGGTGCGGGTAGGTTTACTCTTGTTCTTCCCCCGGTCGCTCTTTATTACCCCCCTTATCCGACCCTTCATATCCTCGCCAGCCCCTCAGAAAACAAGAAGCAGCCTCCATCTCTGATTATCGGCCGTCTGGATCTCAAAAAATACCTCCAAAGCGATCGGTAGACAACACCAGTCTGTCAATTCGGGGAGTTGGGCCCCTCCCTCTGTTCCGAAGCTCAGGGCATTTCTCCCTCGTCCCATTCCAAAACCCAGAGAGATTGAAACAAATGTTGCACAGAGTAACACGCCTGTTCCTCTTCCGGCTATAGCTTTTGCTTGGAAGGGACACAAGAAGAAAGAACAACAGCAACAACAACAACAGCAACAACAACAACAGCAACAAATTCCTATTCGGAAAGCCATTCCTGCTGCTTTTGATGCTGGTACTGCTGGCTCTCCTGCCTATCGAATGATTCCTGAGGCCGATACATCCTCTTCTTCAGTCAAAACCAGTCTTCAAATCCATGACTGCAAAGTGGCCAAGCTGGAGCGGAACTTTGGGCATCTGGTAAACGAGGTAAAGCGGGCATGACGGGAGTTGAAGGCTATCGAGAAGCAGCGCAAACAGGAGCTGAAGAAGATAAGGAAGAAGATAAGGAAAACCAAGAAAAAGGCAAACGAGAGCTTAAGAAGCTCAAAAGGAAGGGGGAAAAATTGAGGAAAGTTGAAGCGGAGGCGGGACATAGTGACGAGAATTTTGCTAATGATGGGCTGTGAGCCTGCGGGATTTGCAGAAGCTTCGAAAAGGGACTTTGAAAGCATGGCAAAAGTCGGGTCACATGAGACTATCTCTTCCTGCTAATCGTGCCTAAAGTTGTGGTTTACATGCACATCGACTGACCGATATTATGAGCTTTTGTTGCACTGGGAAAGAATCTCAATTTCATTGGTGTGACGAACCGTTACAAGCACAGGAGTATTATCGCTGGGATAGAACAATAGAGTGACGGAGTAGTAGCCGAAAGGTACTGGTAGATTGTGATAGCTATTGCTTGCTGAAGAGCCCAGTATTCAGAAGGCCTGGAAGGCCTTCTTTCTTTATATACCGGTCCTTCAGTATGCGCCGTTGCGCCGTTGCGCCGGTGATGCCAACGGTACCACGCCATCGCCTACCCTGGTCGTCCGTCGT